TATATATATATATATATATATATATATATATATATATATATACATACTTACTTCCATATATGACATGAATAACCATCAAAAGCTCAGAATGTCACCCTAGTGGTTTTCTCAGCCATTTTAACGTCTTATTGTGTTAATCTCATTATTTTTACACAATATTTTAAACGATAAGATATGTCTTCAATGAGTTCGAAATTTCATATTTTTTGAGAAGCAAATACAGCTTAGTTACTGCACTTGATAAATTATAGTGGAATTTTGTGGTATCGATATAGTGATTTATGAAGTTTTTGGTTATTTAAAATGTATGTATAAAACCTTAAAAAAATTCATTTTCACATCCTCCACATGGGAAATTTCGTAAGGCTTAGCCATTTACAAGAAGTAACAAATGAGTACAAAGGTCGTAAATAGAAGAGATAATTGTTTGCTTTATTTCAATTTTTACTGTTCTACGTTTTAAAAAAAATAAGTTTAAGAACATATTTGTAAACAGTATTAATGTATATACAAATATAAAGTATAATAATTAAAATGTGACTGTATTTTACAAAATACTAGTCCACTAAAACACAGCCAAGACAGGTCAGTTTTATATCATTGGATACGGTATCGTGAGTGCACTTGTGCTGTGTCATTGTAACTTCTGTATTGTTAGCCAGGCATGGTTGGAATGTCAATATACTAAAAATAGTTAATATATATATATAAATGTATAACATTATGATGATGACAGAACCTTGCGAAATGTTGTACATTTGCTGTTATGTTAAACTTATATTAAAGTTTTTCTTCATTACCCATTCAAGCCATCTCCAAGCATTAATAATGAGGAATGTATCAATTCTATACAGTTGGATAGCTCAATTCTGATTATTAAAGTTATATGGCTACACTACCCCATATAAGATTGAAGTCTTCCCGATAAACTTCTTCACGCACGACTTTACATGTTGTTAAAACTTTAGAAAGCCCAATCATTAAGTGGTACAGGAGGTGGTCAGCACCACGTTCCTTTTCTTCAGAAGTTATCTGTGTAATACAGCACAAAAATATTAAAAAATAAGGTTAAGAAATAACTTTATATAACTATTTATTTTATATTTAATAATGTAGCAAAATTAAATATTGAGAAAGTGCATTTAAAATACTTAGTAAATAGATAAAAATTAACACCATAAAACTAGAATAAGAGGGTTTCTTACAGCATGTTTAAACAACCAATCAAGGAGAAGGACTCAATAGTGGTACGGCAAATATCTTAAATAGTAAGATCTTTAATACTCAGATACAATTTACAAAAGTTGATTATTTAAGAAAGGGGAAAACATGTTTGTGTTATAAGATTTGCTCTGTCTCAGCTTATCAAAAGAGTGATGGGATCCTGGCTGTCGTCTTTAATACATCACACTTCAAGGTAAGCTATTACAAATTAGCCACATATAGTAAAGAAGATGAGAATGAAAAAAAACTTCTAAAGAGTTATTTTAACCTGAGAGAAGCAAAATGTAGTCCTTATTAAGTTCTGTAGCATAAGCAGGATTAAAAAAATCGAGAAAAAAAGAAAAAAGAGGTCCAACTTTATATAGTTAAGAAAAATAAACAAAAAAATGAAACTACTAAGCATGTTTAGTATATAAAAGATATTTCTATTCTTTCAATTTTGCATAGGTCCAGAAAAAACTATTTTTTAAACAAAATATTAACACCATAAAAAGATACACTGTAAACTAAAGGAAATGCCTTGGTGTATTAGAAATGGGAGAGTAGTAACAAATTTAATCCCAAGACTAATGTAAGTGAAAAACTACAAGCCATATATATATTACTAGAAACTACAGAAACATTGTATGAAACAAACTGTTTTGGACTAAGCATCTGTGTAGAAGCATTAATAAAGAAAAACTTCTTTGTAAAAAAAAAAGTGTCTTGATTGATGTATACATACATAATAGTATATGTAGCTTATGAACTTTTACAGATCTTTCTGACATACAAAACAAGTATTTATGAAAACAGTTAGTTATATTTACAGTTTAAAAAAAAAGAATGGTCTTATCAGAAACATTGAAGAGAGTTAAAAATGTTAAAATACACAAACACACAGTACAGTCCTACCAAATACAATAGTTATGTAGAGTGTGTGTATTATATACAAGCTGAGCTAATTACACATAAGTTTCATCCACAGTCAGACAGTGACCACTGTTAGATCTTGGCTGGTTTGTTGTATGGGTCTGTGATGACTTTATATGATTACAATTAACTATGATCTTATCACTATAGGTCTAATGATTTTTCTTAGTTTAATTACTGATCTAGAATAACAAGTTTTACATTTTGAAAAGTTTACATGAATGGTAAAATTTAACTCCACAAAAAATGGAACTTCTAAAATGCAAGGATAAAACTCGCAATAAATCGAGGAATTAAGATGTTAGAGAGAGCTCTTGTGACTATGTTTTGTTTTACTCTTAGCTTGATCAACTAACAAAATGTTATTTATCATCATGTCTTACAGAATAATTACTCACTGGTGGTTGTTCATAATATGTCCTAGTTAATACATTTTAAGGATGTCACATTTATAGATTTAGTAATTATGCTTACAACCACTTACATTTTGATACCTTCCTGGGTCCAACTGCAACTGAATAATCGGCAAGATATCTTTGAGGTAGTGCTTAAAATTCTGTCCTTCAACTTCAGCAAAAATTCCACAGAGTTGAGCAGCAAGACGCCTATGAGCCATCTTAGTAAAAAGTTAAAGTAAATAATGTAGTTTTTTTCATTTTACTGTAAAAGTTTGCAAAGTTCTTTTGTACATCACAATTTCAGAGCATGTCATTCGTACAAAATTAGAATTATTTTCTAATTCTATAATTACGATCTTTAAGCAATTAGATGACATGGTTACAATTCTTTCTTGTCTTGGTATGAAAGTAATTATTCAAAACTTTTGAACAGAATTAGAAGCAACATAAGGTTTTTATAGTCATAAAATTAAATCTAACTTTAGAAAACAAAATTAAGATTTTGCTATTTCTTTCTAGAACTACAAGCTTACTTTGGGGTTAAAGGGAATCGTATTTTAGTGTTAAATTGATTTCGTGATCCTATACATCTTTCTAACACCACAAATGAAGCTTACTTTGGTGTATATTAAGAATACATCTACAAATAGAAAAACCAAAAGACAATAACCACTAATCTAATTCTAACTGTAGAGTGTACATTTTCAGAAAATTAACTGATTAGTTAACTTAATCAGGCATACTGTGAACTGTACAATAAAACAAGACATTTTTATGGATAATGTATTACGTTGAATTGACAAATAAAATTAGCTAACAAGTTCACAAAACTAATAACAGAGACCACAAGATTAAGAAAAAAAAAAGAATTCATAACTATTATTCACCATCATGTGAACTTCTTTCTGTATCCAGTTACAGCCTAGAGTTAAAAAAATAAACTCTCATACAAGGCTGATAAATTTAATTATAATATATATATATAACAGAAAACAATAAACAGAGTTTAAACATAATCTTACCTTGCGATTCTTAATCCAAGCTATCACTATGGAAAACAAATTCTTCTTCTCATTATCATCAATCTTAAATGAAAGTAAAGTAAAGATAACTTACAAAAATATATATCATAAAAACAGCTGCATTTAAATTTAAAAAACAAAAATTAGTACATATCTGAGCAGTGAAGGTACACTGATTTCTGAATTATTTTCAATTGGCAGGAAATACAAAATTTTAATTCCAAGTGAAAAAATAAATTCCACCATACTTATATATTTATTCTCAATTATCAAATTTAGTTACAAAATCACGAAAAATAGACCATCAAGCACACTCAGAATATCTTCACCTTTGTGAGCATGTTTCTGATAATCATAGCAGCCATCTGCCTACATTTTGATGATGAATCATTGACAAGCCGAGCAGCTAGCGGAATAAAGAAAAGTCCAGCATGGCTTTTCAAAACTCCCTAAAAAACAAAATAAAAATATATAATTAGCTCTACTAGTGATACTTCATGAATACTATTAAAAGGAATACATTTCCTAGTTTATTCTTTAGAAACTTTGAAATGCATGTTCTCAAAAAGTTACAAGATATTTCAAGCTCTCATAATCATGGTACCAATAAGTATGATTTATCAAATGAAAAAAGTGTAACTTTATTTATTTCAGTTACATGCAGAGCTACCCACACAAATCATAAAACAACAATATATATCAGGACAAATTTAAAAAATGCATTCAAATACTTTTTTGTGCCAAAATTTTGAAACAGATTGTGATGGTTATAAGCTATTTGAAAAGATCAAAGAAGTAAGTTGAAGGAAGAGGACGATTAGTTGAAGAAGGAAAGAAAAAAGCGAGCAAATGAAGATAACTGCCACGGTAAACGTAAAGGGGAGGAGGAAATAACTGCCACGGTATACGTAAAAAAGTACGCCTACAGCGCTATCTCCTTAACCTCCGGTGCGGAGCACAATGGCAATGCCAAGAAGTACGGCCTCAGGTAAGGCTGGTTTAGTTATAAATCCACTCAAGCACTATAACCTTCACCTTACACAACTAGTAACCCTAGCAAAAAAAAGATTACAATGAAAGGACGAAAGCAAAGTGGAAACAAATACCAATTAAGGAAACAAAAAGAAACATACAAATAGACAACTGAGATATGGAAATCATAAACACTTCTGAACCAGAAGAAGTACATGCAGAATCATCAAAATTAGGCAAACACAAAGAAGACCACAACCTAACACAAACCCAAGCAAAACATAAGGAAGCACATGAAAACGAGCATGAACAACTAGGGAAATAAAAACAAAAAGAAGTAAACGAAGATAAATCTAAACAATCACAAGTAACACCACCAACGTATGAAGATGCAGATCAGTTCGTCATAGTAAGCCCGAGGAAAATAAGTAAACTGACAACACAAAACACGATCACTCACACAAATGTAACAAACCAAAATACACGACAGTACTCAATAATAATACAAGGAATTCCAGCACAGTATAGGGAGCCACAACTTGCAGCTGAAATTAGAAGATGTAAGCTGCAAGTAGATATAACAATAATCAAATGCCTAGCTAAGGGCGGCATACTAGTTAAAGGAGCAGAGGCCATTGACCTAAACCAACTATTGAAAGAATGGCCCCAAGATGCATTTGTACCCAGAAACATATCAACACATATACCAGAAAACAAACCAAACCCCAAATCATTTGTCATAAAAGATATATACACACCAGCATCAAAAACGAAGACATAGAAACTGAATTAACACACAAAAACATTATGTTTACGAAAATTGAACGGATTTACTCCAAAAAACACAGAGATACACAAACCTAATCAAAGTTCACGTACAAGAAACACAAGACATACAGAATGTAATATCTAATGGTATCATTCTCTGGTATCGAAGATTCATGGTAGAACCAACTAAAATACCAGCGGTAGTGGTAACCCAGTGTTACAACTGCCAATGTTATGGACATGTGGCAGCAGCATGTAAAACTCTCCCACGCTGCATAGGGTGTGGGAGATCACAGAAATAATGAATGCCCAAGAAATAACCCACAGACATACTGCTGTAACTGCCAACAGCAACATATGGCTAACTATAAAGGATGCCTGAAACACAAAAATATTAAAGCTTGAATAATTAATATTCAAAATAACACAAAAATACAAATTCATGGAGTAAACACTACACAAAGAAAAACTCCACTGCTACCAACACCAGAACCTCAACAGGAAATCAACACAAATAAACAACCTACCACACAAACATTTGCACAGGTAGTAAAAACCCACACCCAAACAGAAGAAACTCCAAAACAAAAGAAGAATACTGAACCCATTAATGATAAAACAAAGGAATTAGCAATCAATATAACTTTGGCAGTCACAAACATATTCTCAGATTTCCTGGAAAAATATAATAACCCTAAAATCCAAGAAGATTGCATCACACTAATCACGAAAATAGGGTTAGAACACTTACCAGCAATATTACCACAGATAGCACAATTACTCTTACTACCACAAACATCACAGAACACAAATACCAAGCAAATATAAGGCTACACACATATACAACTTGAAAACATAAAACGGACATGGCCCTGAAAAGGAAAGTGATAATAGAATTCAACAAACTAAACCAGCCACCCAAAACCCAAACCTAAGAAGATAGTAAAATATAATAACAGTACAGTAGGGAGGAAGAGGTCTACTAGAACCTGATCCTCCCAGGTCATAAAAGAACTAAATCCCAATCAGGAGAGAGAGAGAGAGAGCTATATAGGCATCTTCATTCATGTCTAGTTGAGTGTAGATACCAAACATTATGTAAAATGTTGGTACTAAAAGCTGTATTAGATATACACACTACTTGATCACCATATTGTTCCATGAAGCCATACTAGCTACTTAACCTTTACAATGTGTTTTATCTGGTGTAAAGGTTAACATTTATATCACCATGAGAGAAAAAAAAGTTTTCTCAAAGAAAAAAATTAAGTGCGAAACTACAAATGAAAATACCAGCAGAAAATTGACATAACTGGTGTGGTGTTCAATACTAACTAGGTAAAAAGTTAAACTAATTATACTTAAATGCAATAATAAAATTAGTTCCATGAATCAAGTGACTGTTTACCTGTTCCCAACAATGTGTAGAATAACAAATCTACAATCATCATCTACTAAAGTTTTAGTGTCTGATTGAAAACAGAGTAGATTGCAATAGATATAATGACATTTTTTTCTTCAAAAGACTGAAAAACTCTTCCAGATATATTCTAAACATGCAATATTTATTATCAACATTCCTAAAATATAGTTAAACAATATTAGCAGCTCATATCAGGCAGGCATATCACAAAACAGGATGATATTAAATTTAACTTTAGGCTAATTATGTGAATGTCAATGAAGACTTTTAGAATTTATGGCAGATCAAGGTGTATACATTTCTTTTTCCTTTCCATGGAAAATAACTAAAAATTTTCAAATTAAAAGGTTGCATTACATTTCTAACTTTCTACCATTTTTATATGTTTCATCTACATTCACTACATTTGAAATAAAACTTAGAAAAATTATTTCTGAAATTTTCACATTTAGTCAAGTAAATTAAGAAATTACAGAATCCAATGCAAGCAAAGTTTACCATATCTAGATGCTAGAAAGCATTCTCAGAGTGCATGATACTAGAGAACTAGAAGTTTTATAATAATTATAATAAACACTACTGGAATGGAATATATATATAACAATAAATTTGATATAGACTGAAAAAACACCAATAAGTTGGGCAGGAAACATAAAATTAAACTAAGAAGAAGAACCATACCACAGGAAAGCTGTTACAAATCAAATTTAACATTTCCAGTGCTGATGTACGACCACTTTCTTGTCCATAGTCCAATTGTGCAATGCAATTTGCCAGGTGTCTTTCTAATTTCTTCCCTAGTGGGTAGTCCAAAAGATACTGAAGAAAAGCCTGAAAAAAAATCATAATCTGTACTAATCTTCAAAAAAAAAGTTTTACTTCATAGAATGTAAATACAATAAACTCAGGACAAAAAAAACTATTTTCAGTGACCTTCAACTAATTATTATTAAAGACTTATCTATATGATAAAGTAATTGGACACAACAACTTGTATAAAAACGACTGAACATGAGACACACTAGGCCAGAAGTTCTCAAACTGTGGTAGGCATACCACTGGTGGCACTATGTTAGCTATAGTATTCCTATTCAGTACAGCCATACATATTCCTGTTCATTGGATGAGGTATGTTGATGATGTTTTCTATAAGTGTTTCACTAAAATTTAATAATTTCTTAAAATTTGGAAAAGAAAAAAAAGGGTGGGAGAGTATTGTTGGAATAAAACCTACTTGACGACTCTGTGCTCGGATATGCTCACGTTCTGAGATTACAGCCATTTCCGAAACCTTCTTCATAATATCTTCCAGTTCTGGAGTTTTCAATTGTCGGTAGAGGATTGCCTAAAGTATTACAAAAACTATGTATTAGGAAGTACTATCAAAAACTACAAATGTTTTTTCAGATTTTATTTATGTTTTAATCCTTTATTTACAATTAAGAAATTATGCATATTGTTATTTGAACTTATTAACTTCTCCTTAAACTTGGACACATTTTTCAGTATGACATGTTTTAACAAAAATAAAGGTATGTTTAGAAAGTTAAATGATTTATTTTCTACAATAATTACAGAACTTCAGTTTTTAATATTCTCAGTTTCCAGCTAGATAGATTCTACCCACATGACTATTAAGTGGTTTAAAACTGTGCATTAAATGTTACTTGAGAAAGTAAAACTAAACAAAACATTTGACATTGAAATACTTCACTGAGAAGAAAAAAATGAATTGCTTTAGGAACAGTATTATTTCTACCTAGCCCAACAGTGAACAGACATCAGAAAAAAATATACTGTACTTTTTTCCTTTTGAAAACTTTTTTTATACAGTGTTACTAATGATCTACAGAAATAACTTGCATATACAATCACCTTGCCCCTTGCTATCTCCATTATAAGCCCTGACCCTCTAGTTGCAATTCCATTGAATTGGGGTGATTTGAAGGTACAGATAGGATCTAATATTAGCCCATTCTGAGAGAGATTCATTACAGGACATTCTGATACAAAATTCTCCTATTCTGTGATTATAAAAGTATGCAACACATGAAATATAGGTGTTTTGAAGAAAAAGATATTATAATATTGAACCATATTAATAAAACAAAGCAAGGCTCAATTCATGTTACTCCATGATCAGTTATCAGTTGCACATGAGAGGTACTGAAAAAAATTTCAACAGCTTGTAATTAGAAGTATAAATCCAAGGACACAGTGGTCCACTGAAGCTAAAGTAGGGACCTCCACCAGTACTACACACAAGACTATTCACAAGAATTGAAGTCTGGAGAAGTAATACCAGAGCTATATTCACAAGCTTTTCCCAAAGTACATGGCTAATGGATAGATCAACTACCAGAGACTGCATGAGCTGTATCTAGCATGTGATAAGGTATGTCATCATGTTGGTTGATGCATATGTCTATATGTAACTGCAATGAAATTCAGGCAATTTATTGTGATCCTGCCAATAATACATTTTAAAAGTGGTAGAGAGTAAATTGAAAAACGTTTGGTGGTTGCAAGTTATAGCTATAATGGTAAGTTAAATATACAGACAGTTGAGATAAATGCCAAAGTGAACTTTGTTTACTATCAGATTAATGTGCTGACACCATTGTTCTGTGAGGAAATACCACTTTTCTATGAACTTTATGCCAGTAAGAAAGCATCAAGACAAAACATCTGGCCAGATGCCTAAATCAAACTACCAACTCCTCTGTAAGATGCAATTACAAATGGGAATTGATTATATACCAATGACTGACGTCTCCAATGGACTTCAATGCTTTTTGGATCCTTAAAATGGCCTTCAAAAAGACATCCTCCATGCATGAACGATAGGCTTTAGTATGCATAAAGAGATGAGGTGAAGAACAATGACCTCTGCATTTTGCAAAAGCTATCCTGCAGTGGAAACTAAGCCGTGGGACAATAGCTTGTAACCAGAACCCTTACAAAGAACACCAATGGTGCAGAAAAGAACTATAAAGCCTGGGCAATGATTATTGTATTATTACCATAGACTATGACCACTTTTCTGTCTTTTAGCTTAAACGAGAGGTTATTAATAAGAAACTTAAACCTAGAAAGTTGGAGAAGATGATAACATTCTAAGAATTCACACTAATCTTGAATTAGCAACAATAGCTTGATATAAATAAACTCAAGGGCATTTTTTACCACTATCTACCTTCCTAAAGTTATACCTTTATTAGAAGAGTAGCTGGTAGAAACAAAGAATCATTTAGTAAAAATGTTTAATGAGTTTTAGATAAAAAAAATTATATTAGAAAAATATATCTTACTTTAATAGTTTAAAACCACATAATTTTAAATAAACAGTTCATCTTTAGGGTTATAATCATGAGCATTATTCTTCTAAACAATCAGATGGAAAAATACCAAAAAATCCTGAGTATGTGTTAGAAAGCATCACAAAAATTTTATGAATAATTAAAACTTTCACCTAACCAATGAGGTATTTTAAGTGCTCTTTTGAATTATTGCAATTTGAACTTGCAATTTAACATAACATAATTCTTACTTAAACTAACTTCATGTACTTTTTACTATTATTTTTTCCCACAGCCTATAAACAGAATTTAAAGCAAAAATCTTGTACTTAGTTGGCCCTACTCTCCCACATGAAATAAAGAGTTAATGACTTATTTAACAATTGATTTTTTTACTATATAAGTTGGTTAGATTAGTTTCCTACTAATTCACTGAACAAAAGTAGTTTTAATTATGTTTACAGATCGAATATTCATTACACAGTATAAAAACATATTATCGGCATAAAAAACTTAATTCTAAGTTACTTTAAACAATGAAAATTTCTTTAGCCTTACTTAGAGAAATTTACATTCTGCATTTTTGTGTACAAAAATTTTATCTGTATTGCTATTTGTATTAGATAAAACAGTAACAAATTCCTTTTTGTAAAAAAAATTAAAACTTACATATTCCATAACTTGCTCTTAAATATAATGCTTATATAAGGAAAAATTTACAAATACAAATGTTTAATACGATGTTAAAACATTACCTTTAACAAGGTGAAGGCGGTAGCTTGTCTTGTGTGATCGTGTATATCTTGTTCAATGTAACTCAGCAACACTTTCAGTTGTTGTTCTTCAATGACATAGTATTCAACATCTCTCACAAGCACTGTTAGCATCTGAAACATTTCAAGTAATCCCTCCAATGAGCAAAGGTTTTCTAAATAAATTTAATAAAACTTTTATATATCTTTTTCATGATCATTCTACCTTGATTTCGACCAAGTGTCACAATTTTCTCTTTTCTTAATCCAGATGATTAACACAGTAGTACTTCCCATGTACTAATGACGACTTTAACATCAAATTATTTTTGCACCTTATCTAGAATCAGCTTCTGAATGAATATAAAACAGTTTTTACCTTATACATGAGATGTGAAAGCATACAGTAGCTTAGAGTTGTCTCCAATATAGGATAATAAAATTTACTTTTTATAATATATACTAAATGATGCAATATTAAATTTGGGCAGTGTAATATTTTGTTCAGACAAAAATAACTTCAAGTGGACTTTTTGTGCATCATACAATTCACTGTATTTTAACAATCCTCCAGATCTTTTAGAGATTTTATAGGAATTCTTGAGCATAATACCCATTTATAAAAATGTTCATTGTACACCTAAAAGCAGCATTAAGGCATCCAATAGCATTAATTTGCAAATTGCATAAAGCTAATCAAATGCTTGTAAAATAACACACAAGATGATTTACATATGTGAATGAAAATAAATTCATTAATACAACAGAAGTACTTCAATGTGTAGTGTATGTATGTACTTTTCTCAGTACAATACATGTTGATGTGGAATGATTACACATATAAGATACAGTTGCTTATTAACCGAATGCACACAGGGATGGTTCAGTGAACCGACACCATATTGGAAAAGGAATGTTGACTATGATTCTGAATTTACGAAGTGGACCTAAACAAAATGTGGCAAACATTTTGTAAAATGTACATGTATATTGTACACAAAACATCAGATGTGTTACAAAAGTATTTGTATTCAAGACAAGATGTGTTTGTGAATTGATAATGTCAGTCTAACTCAGACTATGGCGAGTTTGAGTGCAAAGCGATGTTCAAGTATGAATCAAAATACTTTTGTCAATAGTACTATTTGTATACCCTCTAGAACCTCTGAAATGCATACCAATCAGTTTTTAAATATCCCTGATTTTTGTATATAGCTTTTACACTCCTCTAACACAAACTGTTGCTAAATCAGCAGTGTAAGGTAAAATGAATAGTTGATAACTCCAAGATCCAATACATAATACCGTGCTAAGTGGCATTCTGTAAAATGTCATCATATGCACATTTTGACCCCCACCTCTGCACATAGGGTTGAAGTAAGCATCAAACTGAACAACTGGCAGCTATCAACTGTCTGTCAATTATTTTCTTTGCCTTCTCATTTTGATTTTGATCAGCAATAATTGCTGGTCAAAATTTACCATACATTTAGTGATAACAAAATACTTATTTAAAATTTAGTTTTCATATCTTTCTCAATCCTATTTTAGAAGTCTTGGAACTAAGTGGTATTATACATAGTAATTGTGTACATTAAAACCATGAGTTTAGTCAAATTTTTATGTAGGAGTCCTCACCTAATGTGCATTTCACTTTCTAGACATATAGTACTGGAAAAAAATTATGTATACAGTGTAAAGAAAGGGGCATAAAAGGCAAAAAGTACAGAAATGCCATACCTTTACCATGTGAAAATGAAATGCACCAAACTCACATACTGTGATTGATTGTTATCCAACAAATTCAAGTGTTACAACACTATAAATTCTATAAAATTTTCTACAGGTAATTACACTATGTCCAGTAATAGTAATGTGAATCCACTTAGAGCTAGGACAGATATACATGATGACAAGCATGTAGAAATCAAAGTTTTGACTAGTTAAGGATACTTCATGTTTCCATGAGTTTTATGAAAGAACTCTGAAAAAAGATATGAGAGACTGGCACTGCTAATAATAATGGTCAAAGAAGAAAACCAAAATTCTCCAAAAGTAATATTTAATATTTTACCTTAAGGTGTTTACAAGATAAACAAAAGTTGAGTACAGACCTTGTGAATTATTTTGCTATAAATAAAAGTGTGAGCACAGTTAGATGCACGTTAGTGCAAAGTAGTCTCACTGAATGAACAGGTGATCAAAAACTACTGCAAAGAGGTAACCAAGTGGGCAATGGATCACAAGTAGTGGAATAAGCAAAACTTTATGGACATGTATTATTTTATAAAAGTTACCATTTTCCTAATCTGAAAATGTATTTCCAATAGATACTCACCTTTTCATACAGAAATGCTAGTTTCCTTATGTGTCTGCTAATGAGACTTGCATGCAACTAGCCTTCAGTTAACATGTCATCATGTGATAATAAGCCCTGCACCAATAGGAGAGCAACATAACCTTAATGTGCAGTATCTCTCCCTATGCAATTGCACTCATGATAACTTGAAAAAAAAAAAAGGTGCACTGGAAAAAGGGAGGATGAGTGGAAATGGTAAGTCTTTGGATTTACAACACTAATATCAGGGGTTCAATTTCCCCTTGGTGGACACAGCAGATAGCCTGATGTGGCTTTGCTATAACAAAATACACACACACACACAGATTAGAAAAATGCTAACTTCCATGACAATAACTCACTTCACACAGAAATGCTAGAATCCCATCTTAAAGTGGAGAAGGGGCTGGTGCAAAAATTAAACCTAGATGAGCTTCCTTCAGGAAGTGCTTGAAGGGAATGCCCATATAATGTGACACCCAATGGAAGGGGCACACCCATGGGGACTGCATCTTGTAGCAACCAGGGTATACTTTTTACTGAAGATGAAAGGGAGGGAAAGGTGAATGAGCTTGAAGTGTCACAGGGATAGGTATAATGTAATTGTGATCAACTGAGCACCTGCACACAAATGAATGGTGAGACAGCCTCTGGCTGCAGAAGGAGGGCACATTAGCTGTGTGAGGGGTGACCTGTACTACTGCTCTACTTCTCACTGAATTGTGTTAAGCCCAATTGGTGAGGATTCTCCATGGCCCATTACAAAAGTGGCTAGGAACTGGTACGTGGCAAGAGTATCCTATGCTCCATTTGAAGAAGGGTAGAGAACTTGCTTTGGGGAGTCCTAAAGAAATGTCTGGATCTCAATTGGACACCACCCAAAAAAGGTCTTTAGAAATGGGCAGTCACTTCTTTGGTGCCAGCTCTTTTCATGATAGTCCTTGGAATTTGTACAGTCTGGATGAGACAATTCAGTAAAGTTTAATACCATGAGGATACCTCAAGTGGTCTTGCAGAATACCTTATCTTGCAGTGGGCACCACTAGAGCCAGGGAAAATGGGCTGAACACTTGTTAAAAACAGGAAGGCCTAAAACCTGGAATGGGAAGGGTAGACTGAAACAGATGAGGAACAAGAGACAAAGGACAATGTCGAGAAAAAAGAAAGACCTAGGAAAATAAAGAGAACTGAAGTCATGCAACTTCAGTCCAGTTCTCCAGTGAAAAATAAACACCATTGAAGACATCTGGGTAGAGAAAGGGAGCCTTACGAAGACAATGTACACAAGGAGGAAGGTGCACAGTAAAAGGGAATACACTTGACCCAACAGCAGGAGAACTAAGTAAGGAGGGATAAAGCAGAAGAAGTGAAGCAGGTTAAGCTGGAAATGAAAAGGGAGTAAACCTCATCAGAAAACCCTCTTGGAGAATGATGAAGTGCCTCAGAAAAAAGATGGAGGGAAGAGAAGGAATATAGGAGGGTGGGAAAAGTAAAAGATAAAGACACAAAAATAGGGAGCCAGAGAGCAAAACAGAAGGCAACTTGGGAGAAAAAATGTCAGTTGAAGGGACAGGAATATAAGGCCTAGTAAGCATGTGGTAATCCACAACATTTTGAACAAAGGATGCAATGTCCCCAACAGTTAATGAGCCTCCAGAAGCCATAGCAGAAATTGGGTTTGTGTATGTAACAGCATTACTTACACAGGACTAAGTAGAAGTCACCATCATTTGAGAATTCAAGATAATAATCAAAGCTTTTGAAACAAAGCCAACATAAAAAACAACAACAAAGTTTTGTTAATGTATGCATATCTTATCAACTTAGACAACAAATTGAATATGTCTATTCAATGTAATACCGGGGAAAAGAATGAAGTTATTCTGAGTGCAAGTGCATAAGGGGATAGAGTGCACATGGAGACTGTGTTGCCCTCCTATTTGTTGCCCTCCAGCACAGGTAAGAGTTGGCTCAGAATAGTGGCATGCAAATCTCATGGGCAGAGGTAACTTATTGTCTCAGAAGAATCCAAGTTCAGATTTTCAACAATAACCAACAACTTAGTCAATGTAGAACATCTATTGTGAAATATGGTGGGGAATCAATACAAGAATGTGGTTGCATCTCAGACAACTGTGCTGGTAATCTACACAAAACTGATGTTACCCTGACTGCTGCTAAGCAAATGCAGATTCTGAAACATCATGCCTTTCTTTCAAGAACATGATTAATTCATTTGGCAGGGATTAATCTTTCAGAAAAACAATGATCCTAGGCATAAATCAAATGTGTTGAAAATAACATAATGGTTAAAGAGCTAATAGAACACTTGCAATCATTAGCACTTAATCTAATCATAACCACTTAAATGTTATAACAACACATTTCGATATCTTCTATCATAAGTACTATATAAAAAAATCTTCAAGTTTGTCCCACATTTCAGGAATGATTTCATAATAAAATCCATGCACATAGTAAATACAGACTAGTATATTGTTATTTACTTAAAATCTTACCTTAAAACATGTGACCACCATTTCAAAGTTTTCACCCTGTCCCATTCCTGGACCTGCATACTTGTTCAATAACACAAAGCCTAATTTACATATCTTTGGAACATGAGTATTCAGAGATGGCAAGGGGTATTTCAGGATCCATGTTAAGCATCTCAGTGTGGTAGATATTAACTGAAATGTGATAAAAAAAATATTTCTTGTAGTTCAAAGCAATTTAAACAAATCTATTAGAATATAACTCACTTTCTGAAAGAAGTCACCATTTGTGAGAAAATTAATTTTTAAGTAATAATCAGTAAACATTTTTTAACTTTAATATCCCTCAGCAACTAAAAAAGATTACATAAATATTTAATTTTAAGTATTTGATCAGCTAGTCCATTCTATAATATTCCAGAGCATTTGAAATATAAGAATGATCAAATGGTATAATATACAGCTAATGTTTCTTCAGGCTTCAGGTTTCAGCAGAGAAATTTTGTACAGAACAGTTCTTAATGTTTTAAAGCTTTAACACATGTAAGTATCACTGTGAAACTAAATTTTAAGGTTTGTCAGTTTTCTGTTTTCATGGATGTTCTTTAATGTAACTGAGAGTCTATGCACTATCAATGAATGCACAAAGTATAACCTGTTTTTCAGCTATTAAGAAACATAATAAAACTTGCAAAACAAAATCTTTAAGCAATATACGAGATACCATGTATACCAGTTTATTACATTATTGTATCATGCTGAGTTCATTGAATTATAGTATCATACTAACAATAAATTATATTACAATATTTCTGGAAGCAAGAAACCCATCTTTAGATTATAAACAAAATAATAAAGAAATCTGAATTGCCACTTAAAGTTACAAAACAATCAGTTCCAACTCTCAGATGTCAACTTTCAAAATCTCAGTACTCTACTTTGCAGTGTAAAAAATAAAAATTCAATTTTCTAAGTTACAATTATTAATAATCATATTTAGAAAAAATTATAGCACAGGTAAACAGTATTTCAATTTTTTTAAGCTGTTACTTTACAGTCTTACCACTTGCATTTTCACTTATTTTAGACATCAACAATATCAAAACTTCTGGAGAGAATTGTAACTTCTAAACAATGAAATATCAATTCTGTAAAATGTCTGTTATAAGAACTGTGAATGCTCTAAATAATACTAACTTTGAAGAATACAAATCTCTAAAATCTAAACACATTTTTATTTCAGAAAAATCTCAAAAAAGCTATTATGGTAACTAATAGACTAATCAAATAAAAACACTGGCATCTAATATTTCTTTTTGATACTATATGGCAGTGAAAGGATGTTTGGCTGTTTGTTATTAATTTCTGAAACAAAATGTACGAGGGTGGTTTGGACCTTGTTTGATCTGTGTCTATTCATAAAAATGTTAAAGAACATAGTTATTAAATCCTGCAAAATACAGGAGGACCAAACCTTCTCCTCTAGATCTGTGCCTGCTTATATAACATTAACTAATACAGTTATTAATTTTCAAATCTAATGTAGCTTTGTGCTTATAAACAAACAAACATAATAGTAATATTATGATTACTTAGAGAGTTGGAATAATCGAAAAAGTAAACAATCAGAAACCCTAATTTCAATTAGTTGATTATTTTCATTGTAATTTCAATTAATTGATTGTTGGAAGAATCAAAAACAGGAATAGTCAACAACATTAATTTAAATTAGTTGACCATTTTCATTACATTAATTAATCAATTGTAATTTTGTTTGTTATGGATTTCATGCAAAGCTACACAAGGGCTACCTGCACTAGCCGTCCCTAATTTAGCAGTGTAAGACTAGAGGGAAGGCAGCTAGTCATCACCACCCACCGCCAATTCTTGGGTTACTCTTTTACCAATGAATAGTGAGATTGTCCATCACATTATAATGCCCCCACAGCTGAAAGGGCAAGCATGTTTGTTGTGACGGGGAATCGAATCTGCGGATTGCGAGTTGAGTGCCCTAACCACCTGGCCATGCCGGGCCAGTAATTTTGTTTAATTGATAAGTTTACGAAACATTAATCAATGTAAGTGCTGTTCATAGGTAATCAACCAAGTTGCCCAGCTCTACTTGAATGTAAATTATATTCAGGGCTTTCTAAATAAAAGAGCATGAAACCTATAAACAGAAACCACAGCAAATTTAAAATAGCTAAATTTGGCCCAATTACAAAGGAGATAAAAAAGAAAAGATATACTTGTAAAATATTTTCTAAGCCATCATGTTAACAGAAAATGTAGCAGTCACAGTGGGATTATGAGGTGATAAAAAGTTTGTTTGTTTTTTGAATTTCGTGCAAAGCTACATGAGGGCTATCTGTGCTAGCCGTCCCTAATTTAGCAGT